ACCTCTATCAAAGAAAAAGAAAAGAAAAAAAAAGACCAAGAAAAAGGCTTATTTGAATTCCCATTCACAGGCCAGTCAGGCCCAGGCCCAGCCAGGGAGGACCTGGAATACAGATGGGCCGCCACCCACCACAGGCTCTTACAGCCCCAAGGGCACCCAGCAGGGCTGCAGGCACCCTGCAGCTTCCAGACTGGACCAGGGCCACTGCGCCCCAGGAGGTGCAACTAGACACCAGCTCAGCCGCAAGCACTCGGGAGAGCTGTCTGTCTAAACAGCAAACAGAGTTTCAAAGAGAACGGCCGATGTCTATTTGGCAAACCCCCAACAGGTCCCTCTCTTTCTCCTGAGGTCCTTGGGAGAAACACGCATGACAAGGCCCTGACAACTGTTGAGGCCCACTGTCTGCAGGGATAGAGGAGGACCCCCTCTACAGAAGAGGAGCAAAGAGAGGCTCGTGAAAGTGAAGTCCCAGGCCGGAGGGAAGAGGGAAGAGATTCGAACAGGAGATTGTCTGAGCCCTCCAGGCACGGGGGTTATCAACCATCTGCTCAGGGGTGACCGATAAGGAAGTGACATTTGCTGGGGCAGGAGAAGCAGGGCAAACGTGGGCCAGAATCAAGAATGGGGAGTCAGCAATGTCTGTTGATGAATATTATCGGCCAAAATGACCACAGGCCAGAGATGTGAGCCAACCCCGTGGCCTGAGCAGTACATGACCCCCGCAGCACCACCCAGGCAACTGACAACTGACATTGCAATCTTAGTTGCCTTCCCAGGAATTGCTCAGAACCTCTCTGAGCCTCTAGTTGCTTGACTGTAAAATGGGGACAATACTGCCTTGCAGGGTTCCTGTGAGGGTAAGCTGAGAGGGCAAAGAATCTGAGGCATCATTCTGGTATCTGATTCCACTTTCACCACCACCCAGACTGGGGCCTGTTATCTGCCTCATCTCCAGCTTGCTCTCCACCCAAAACTACAGGTCCAAGGGCAGAAGAGTGGCTTTGAAGAGAAGGGCCTTCCCTTGTCTCCAGACATCCCACTCATACGGTTGGGAGACCATCTCAAGACCACGCTCAACTATGAGACGAAACTAAATTGACAGCAATCCCACTGATGACTGAAACTTGTGATCATGACACTGAGTGCTTATTTCACCCCGACACAAAGCTGTGCCCCCACAGACTCTGTGGCAGTCCTGTGTGCACGGGTCTTGGGGGAGCGTGGACTCTACAGGGAAAACGACAGCTCCAACCCTCGCTGCCCCTCAGCGGGCTGGGAAACCTCAGGTGGGATCCAGTCCTCCACACCTGCTCTGCTCACAGCAGCCACAAACGAAGACAGGGTCCGCGTCTCCTTGTCCAAAATAATACCAGAACTTCTCTGCCAATATGCCCTGACACTTTAGTGCCCTGCAGAGAAACACCCTCGCCAAGTGTCACTGATGACGCAGCTGAAAACCAGAAACATTTCGCTTCCTAGCCACAGACTGCCGCAGTCCTCCGCTTCCTACAGCACTTGGGGAAACCGAGGCCCAGAAATCTGACCCTCCCAAGCCCCACCCCTCCACCCCCCCGCCCCAGAAAACAAGACCAGAGAGGCTGAGACTGGGACTCCTCATTCCCCAAATGGTGCAAACCACCTAACTCGGAGCTACTCCCACTGGCCTTAAGGAGCTTGCTGGTGGGAGGTGGGGTGGATAGAGTCACTGGAGAGAAACCCAAGTTGTAGCCTTAGATTGCTAATCAGTAATGAAATATCCCTCTACGCCTAGCCCTGCCCCAACTCACAGGCTAGGAAGGTAAATAAAACCTGCACTGGGCTAGTGCCCCACCTCCCCCGGGTCCAGTTCCCACCCCAGCCCCCACCCCGAGGCACCTGCAGATGCCACTTGGCCACCAAAGCAGAGAGCATGCCCCGTCCCCACCCAGCTCCCAGGCTGTCACTTAAGGGAAGAACAGTCATTTAAGGCCTCGATACATTTTCTCTGAACTAGGAAAGCCTTTAAAGAGAACCAGAAAGGGCTGTTTAATCTTCACCTTCAGGCAAATAGTTCAGGCAGCAGGAACAGCCACCAGAAGCAGGAGCCAAGCCACCAAAAATGTGGAAAGACAGGGAGGAGGGAGAGGAGTGAGGCAGAGGGGACAGCCACCGATCAGCGAGCTGGGGACCGGGAGGGCGACCAGCTGCCCGGCTCCGACAGAGCCCTCTGCCCGGGGGCCCAGCAGTCAAGCGGGCTGGAATACAGTAGCTGGGCTTTCCCGAGGCCAAAGGTCCTCCCACCCACACCCCAGCAGCTGCTGCCAAACTCCGCACTTCCTGTAAGGTGAGCAGTAATTTACAGACCCCTTCAGAGGCTTTTATCTCTGCCTCAAATCCGGGAGGTAGGGATTACCGGCTCCATTCTACAGATAAGGAAACTGAGGCCCGAGGAGATAGAATGCCAGGATCCAGTCCAAGCCTATATTCCTCTGGGAAATATTAAGAGCCTCAGTTGACGAAAGCTCCCCCGGGGCGGGGGGCGCTGAGAAAGGCAGGAGTAATAGCAAACCAGGAAGGTTCTTCCACCCCAGTACCCGGGCCCAGCTCCCTTCTCTGGGGCAGACAGCACGGAGAAGCCCAGGTGGAATGCCAGCTCCGCCCAGGCACACAGGTGATCACTGCTGGGGGCTGCCCTGTCGTTCCAAAAAGAGGGAAAATTTCGCTTCCGCTCAAAGGGCCTATCACTTCCCTCCCCCGCACCCCCCATTAAAAACTTCCCGGTCCCGGGGCAGGGTTTCCAGGCAGAGCTGCGGCACCTCCAGCCAGCCCTACGGTCCCAGATTCTGAGACCGATAAACTCCGCAGGGGAGAAACTTCTGAGGATTCTGAGGATCCCGGACCGGCTGCGGATTCAGCGCGGCAGGGACACGCCCCCATCGCTTAACCGGAAAATTCGGCACCTAAAAAAAAAACCCCACCGCCTGCTGGCTGGCGATCTCTCCGACGCCAGCCGGAGGAGGGGTCCGGAGTGGCGGTGGGTTTTGTGTTTTTTTTTTTCCCGCCCGCGGGGGAAGGGGCTCTGGGCCCGAGACGCGCCCTACCCGGCGGGCGCCCTCCTTACCGTGCAGGCCGTTGGGGATGCTTCGGTGGTGCGGCGGCGGCGCCGAAAGGTCGTCCAGGGACCGGCGCGTGGCGACCGCCTTGCCGTCGGGGGCCTTGGGCGGCCCGGGAGGCAGCAGCGGCGGCGGGACGTGGTGGTGATGGTCCGGGCTGCCGCCGCTGCCCGCGCTCGACGTGCTGCTGCCGTCGCCCACGTCCCGGGTACCCGCGCCCGCAGCGCCGCCGGGCAGCGGCCCGCTCAGGCTGGCCTGGCTGTCGATGGAGCTGCGGGAGCCGGCGCCGCCGCCGCCGCCGCCGCCGCCGCCCGCGCCCCCCGCCAGCGCCGCGCGCTCCTCGTCCAGCAGCACCACCAGTTCTTTGAGCTCCAGGTTCTCGCGCAGCAGGGCCTCCTGGCGCGCCTCAAGCTCGCGCAGCTTCTGCTGCGAGCGGGCCACCTCGTGCCACACGGCGCCGGCCGCGTGGCGCCCGAAGCGCTGCCACTCGCGCGCCAGCTTGCGCCCCTTCTGCCGGTCGTCGTCGAGGAAGCAGCACAACTCGCGCAGCTCCTGGTTGTCGTCCTGCAGCCGCTGGTTCACGTCCTTGAGGCCGCGGATCTCCAGCAAGTGCTGCTGCAGCCTCCGGTTCACGTCGCGCATCAGGCCGCCGTGCTCCAGCATGAGGCCCACCTTCTCGCCCTCCGCGCGCCGCAGTCTCCGCGCGAGCTCCTCCTTGCTCCAGCGAAGCAGCTCCTCGTCCGGCACCTGGCTCAGCTCCTCCGACGCCGCCGCCGCCGCTGCCGCTGCCGCCGGGGGCTTCGCCATGGCGGGGCCGTCACCGCGGCATCGCCCGCGCCCTCGCCCGGCCGGCGCTCCCCGTTTCGGGGCTGCGCTGGGCCGGTCCGCGCGCGGGCGGCGGGGTGGGGTTGGGGTGGTGGTGGCGGCCGGGGGGCGCGTGCGGCCCGCCCCGCGCTGCCTCGCGCGCCCTCACGCAGCGCCTGACCGCCGCCCGGGGCGCCCGGGGGAATCGGTGCGTCTCGAGACGAGGCGAGCTGGGAACGCTGCTGCGTCGGCGGCCGCGGTGCCGGGCTCTCTCCCGGCTCCGGCTAAGCAGGCGGAGGCCCGCCCCCGGCCCAGCTCCGGAGCCCCAGCCGCCCCGCCTACTCCGGGCGGGGAAGGGGCGGGGCGCACGCGGTCCGGGCCCCGCCTCCGGGGGGGAGCGAGCGGGCGGGCGGGCAGAGGCGCGGCGGGTCCCCACGTCTCCCCCGCGCCGTGCGCCCGCCCTCCCGGCGCCCAGCCAGAGGAGCGCTCGAGCCGTGGTCCCACCCTCGCGCCCGTCCGATTGGGTCTTCCCGGGGGGGTGTGTGGGGGGCGGGGCGCACTCGGGGGACGCCGCAGGAGATGGTACAGTCCACCCTCCGGGCTGCCCACCTCCCCCCGCGCCGCGGTTCAAGTTTCTGCGGCCGGAGGACGCGGCCTCCGCCAATCCCAGGGCTACAGGGCGCTTTTAAAATGCAGGTACGGCTGCGGGGAGGGAGGGTGACGGTGGGAAAGGTAGGGCAGGGCTTCCCTTAAAGGAGACGCGTGGAAAAGGGCGCCCAGCCCCTTCCTGGGCCCGCGCGCCCCGCCCGCCGTCCCCCGTCCCGAATAAACAAATACCCACGATCGGAAGGACGGCTCCCCTTCTCCCGGCCGAAGGCACCAGAGTCCAGCTTAGTCTGAGATACGGCGGACAACAGGACTCAGGCCCGGGGGGTCGCTCCCCCCGGCGGAGAGCGGCTCTTTGTCCGCTCCCGGCCCCCGGCTCCTCCTCCACCCGGGTCTCCACCGTGGTCCCCAGCCCGGAGCGCGCCGAGGTTGCAGCGTTTTCCACTCAAGCCAGGGGCTGCGGCTCCAGCGTCTGCGCCCCAGGAGGGCCAGGGGGCCTCACCCGCCGTCCCGGATCGGGGTCCCGCACCCTCCCTGCCCCGAGAGGGCGAGAGCTTGAGGAACACGCACCGTTCCCCCGCCAACCCGACCGCTCGTCCCGGAATGCGGGAGGGAATCTGTGACTCGCGACGTGGAGACCACTGGGGAGGGGAGGGGAAGGTCTTTCACTGAGGTCTTAACTCGAGGCGGGGCGCCGATTCCGCAGCAATAAAAATCAAACCCTCCCCACCGACAGCCTCGCCTGGCACCCGGGTCTCCCCCCACTGGCTTGTGCGAATCCATCTCGTTATCCTCGCGTCCCTGAAGTGCATTTACGGCGAGTCTGCTGCCAGGCGGGCGGAGGGGGGCGTCCCTCCCCCCGGGACCCGCGCCCTCGACCAAGAGCGCCACGGCCGGGCGCGCGTCCGCTCGGCAGCGGTTGTCCCGGCTTACAGCGACCCAGCCATTCATTGGACAACCGTGTACAGCGCCTCCTCTAAGCCAGGCTTGTTCCCGACCACTAGGGGATTCTCTAGGGGACCGGCGGCCACTGCCCGCTGGGGGAGACTTTGCACTCTGTAGGGAGGAGGGGCGAGAAGAAAATCAACAAACTGGAGAATTGTGAGGCTGTAATAAGTGCTGTGCAGGGGATTAAGACCAGCTGCTGTCGCAGAAAGTGATTATCAATGACTTTAGATCCCGTGGTCAGGGAGGACCTTTGAGGAGGTGTGGTCTAAGCTGCTGTCTGAGTGAGGGAAAAGGACAAAGATAAGGGGGAGGGCACTCCAGGTAAAGTGAACAGCTAGTGCAGAGGCCCTAGGGCTGCCCTGTTAGTGGCCTATTCAAGGAGGAGGTGTGAGAGATGAGGTCAGAGAGACCAGATCATCCTGATTCTAAGGCAGCTGGGAAAGCCGTGGGGGGAATTAGCAGGACACAGCATGACCCGCTTTGCCTTTTAAGAGCTTCACTCCGATGGCTTAAACAGTAAAGAAGCTGCCTACCGTGTAGGAGACCTGGGTTTGATCCCTGGGCCAGGAAGATCCCCTGGAGAAGGAAATGGCAAACCCACTCCAACATTCTTGCCTGGGAAATCCCACAGACAGCGGAGCCTGTGTGGGCTAGATTCCATGGGGCCGCAAAGAGTCAGACAGGACTGAGGGACTAACACTTTCTTTTCTTTTTCTGGCCCGTATGTGGAGAAGGGGTGGGGGTGTGGGGTCGCAGGGCAGTACAGATTCGCCACTCCCTCCCCCCCCCCCATATAGATAGATGTTTAGGAAAGGGTAGTGAGGAAAGGATGAGCTGGGCAGGGGGTGGGGGGAGCATAGCTTGAGGGTCAAACCCCAGGGTAGCCAAGGGTCCCCCAGGCAGGTGAACCAGTCCCTGGGTCCTGCGGCGGCGGGGGGGGGGGGGGGGTAGGGTAGGTGTCACCCTCCCCACTGGGGCACTGTGCTTTGAGGACCCAGCCCAGGGCATCTAAGTTTGAGTTTGAGGAGAAGAGTTCCAGCTCTCACTTGAGAAGGCTAAAGTCTTTCTTACCCCCAAAGGCCAACGGGAACTAACAGCTCCCTGGAGGCTGTCCCCAGAACAAAGGCCGGTCAGAGATGCTCCTGGGAGAGTGAAGGGTGAGCACCAGGGAAGTCGCTGAGATGTTAGCACTGTTTGTGGGGACCCCCTCCCCCCAATTTGAGTGTGACTCCAGGTTGTTCCCATAGCATCTAGTCCTCTGATCCTCCAGGGCTGGCAGCTTCAGCTGAACTTTCCAAGAGAAAAATGAAGCCTCCATCTAGAGGGGGTTTACTTGCATCATCTACAGGGTGTGGGACCTAGAGTCCCCCTTGCCAAAACTCATGAGAGCGTCCCTCATGTCCCTCTGGTGCAGCAAAGACAAGGAGCTAGAGATGAGGCTACAGGGTAGGAAGTCTCAGGGACAATCTTTGCTCTCCCCACTGTGGCTGGACAGGCCGAGGCACAAGACCGACTGCAGGAGGGTGAGAGGGTCCAGACCTGAAACAGGCTCCTGAAGCACAGGGCACCATCCAAGCCAGAACCCCCTCCCTAAGGGTCCAGCAAGCGCCAAGCCCCCCTGGAACACTCGCGGTCCAACAGACCCTAAACCCAAGCCAGGGTCCCAAAAATGTCAAGTGTCTTTGGCTTTTTTTAGCTATGTGATCGTAACAAGCTCTGCTTTGTCATGAAACCTGTAAAACTGAACCATGGATCTCTAATACAGTAACTCTTACAGCCCCATGTACTATAGCCTGCCAGTCTCCTTTGTCCATGGGCTTTTCCAGGCAAGAATACTTGGCGCGAGTTTCCATCTCCTCCTCCAGGGGATCTTCCCGACCCAGGGCTCGAACTCAGGTCTCCTGCATTGCAGGTGCGTCCTTTACCGACTGAACCACCAGGGAAGACCCTAATAATTCTCTAGATGGCCAGTACAAGTAGCTGTGGGTCTTGGAAAAAAATAAAGATACACCACCACCGCTCCTCAATTTTTTTTTTTTCTTCTGAATCTCCAAGGCTGTGTGTGTCCATTTAAAGCCACACAAATGTTTTTGAGAGCCAGCTAGGGGGACAGCCAGTACACTAATATATAGTAGACAAAATGATTCCTGATCACAGGGTCTGTGAACCTGGAAAATGGTAACAGCACACTAGGGGTAAGTAAGTTTTCTCCACAATGGGAGGGAAAGGGGGTTCTTATGCCTCTGTGGCTGGGCCCGAAGCATAGACCTCCCATCAGCCACTCTGCTGTTTGCTGAGTAAATGTATGATCAAGTCTGAGTCCCACGTTTTGATGATGAAGATATGGAGCCCCAGCAGGGAAATGACTTGCCCAAGGTCACTTTCATTCATTGATTCCCGAAACACACAAGCATAATTGGTTCAGTGTTTATGCATAAATGCATATGTATATGTGCAATCAGATATGCATTGGAAATGCAGTGTTGTAAGTACCACAGAAGAGAGGAGCAGAACACATCATTGTGGGAGCATCCTGAGGCCATGGAGGAGGTGACACCCACCCCCCTGCCACCCCCACCTTCCACCCCCACCACCACCCAAAGGGAATTAAAGAGTAAGAGTTTATCAGATTGTAGATGGGGAAGGAGAGGGTTGAGATAATCCAGGTGGAGGCAACAACAAAGCCAAGGCCCAGAGGTGAGCAATGGTGAGGGCCAGGTGTGGACACAGCCATGCCTTATTGCCTGAAGAGGCAGAGAACAGCAGGGAATAGTTCCAGGGGAAGTGTGGCCCCCTTCCTGGCGCTCTAATGGCTAAGAGCAGCAGCAGCAGCAATAATAATAACCATCACCTCCTACCACGCACCCAGTGGGTGCCAGGGGTCCTAAACCAGCCCCCACGTGACGATCAGAATGACAACGTCATTAACCCCTTGGAGGAGTTAACATGAATTCCTATTGGTTGTGGGTTTTGTCTCCACAAAGCTCAGATCACTGAGTGCAAACTCATGGGCAGTGTTCAGAGGCTGGTGGATGTCCAAGGCCTCTTGGTGTAGCCGGTGGAGGTTTGTGTGGTGGCAGAGGATTTCTGCAGATCAGCGAGGCGATGGCGGCTGACAGGTCCGGGCTGGGCTCTGGGGTTTCTTCTCTGCACCCCACCCTGCACCCCTGAACGGGGGAAGTCACCATGCACAGCTGAGAGGCCACAGTGAAATCAGGGCCCATGGAAAAGCAACTGGAATTGTTATGAATAAAGGGCAGTGTTTGCGGAGCACTTGCTACATATCTACCCAGGCCTGGGCAAAGGATTCACAGGGATTGTCTCACTGAGTCCTCAATGCAGTCCTCGGTTAAGAGCCTCAATCCCCGTTTTACAGAGAGGCAAACCAAGGCTCACAGGCTAGGTCACTTGTCCCAGGTCACAAGGCAAGCAAGTGAATGAGCTGAGATTCTAACCCACGGCCTTCTGAGCCCACAGCCTACAGCCTCCTGCACGCTGGCTGCTCTGCAACATCCTTTTCACTGTGACTCTGGTTCTACCATGGGGAGGCCTGCGCTCTGCCCGCACCACGCCCATCACCCAGCTTCCTGCTGCTTCCCCCTTCCCCATTGTCCCCAAGTCAGACTCCCTGCGCCTCTGGAGGGACCACTGGGTAGAGCTTCCCAGCTCTCCCTGCTGACAGATCAATCACTGCGTGCTGTTAGCTCTGTCTCACAGCTCTTCTCTCACCCATTTGCTGGGTGACCTTAGGCCAGTCCCTTACCCTCTCTGAGCCAGTTTTCTCCTCTGAGCCTTCCTTCACGAGGCCAGTGTCAAGGCCTGGAGAAATGCACCTCTCCTCTCTGCTCATTCTCCCCACCCTCTGGATCAGGACAATCTTCCCACAAGGACATTTGTACCCATTTTCCAGATGCAAACCCTGAGGTACATTGAAACAAGGGCTGTCCAGGAAGCCTAGTGCTTGCCCCTGGCAAATCGGGCTACAAAGGATGCCGGCTATGGCCTTGGGCTGCCACTGACTTCCTTCTGGAAAGGGTGCAGCACAGAATATGAGGTTTAGTGATGAAGGGTCTCAATTCTCACATTTTTAAGTGGGGAAACTGCAGTGATGCTGGGCCACTAGCAGGCAAGTTTGCTGGGATATTAGCCCCTGGAGCACAGCCCTGGGGGTCTAGGGGGAGGGTGGGCTCACTCACTCACATCCTTAACCAGCTGCCAGGCTCCTGGGTGCTGGAGATCAGGAAGTCAGTGATGAACTGCACAGCTTCCAGAACCGCCAACGTCACAGGCAAAAGCCTCAATGTTAACCTAAGAGTGCTAGTGGAAAGCACCCGCCTGCCAATGCAGGAGATATAAGAGACAGGGGTTCGATCCCTGGGTCAAGAAGATCCCCTGGAGAAGGAAATGGCAGCCCACTCCACTAGGCTTGCCTGGAGAATCCCATGGACAGAGGAGCCTGGAGGGTTACAGTCCATGGGGTCGCAGAGTTGACACAACTGAAGCATCTGAGCACAAGCCCGCACTCAGCCTAGGCGCAGTGGGAGCCGCAGAAGAGTGGAGAGCAGAAGAGGGACCTGGCAGACTTTGTTTGAAAAAGAGCAAGTGACCGGAGCTGTGAATGGATCAGAGAGAGAGTCAGCTGAGGCTGAGACAGAGTCAGAAGACTGCAAAGCCAGGCTGGCGAGAGGCCAGGGCAGAGGTGGGAGAAAGTCGCCTTTAGGGATCAATTCAGTGGTGGGGGATCAGGACCCTGCCTCTCCCTTCCCCTCTGGAGCCACCAAAATACCCTCCTTCCCCTGCAGCTGCTGACACTGACAGGAGCAAAGCAATGGTGGAGAGGGAAGGGGAAAGAGGGAGGGGAAGGGGGGAGGGGAAGGGGGGAGGGGAAGGGGGGAGGGGAAGGGGGGAGGGGAAGGGGGGAGGGAGAGGGGAGGAACCCTCAATCACGGGGAAACCTAGTGAGGGAAGCTCTTTGAAGGACTGGCTCCCAGCTCCATGCACTT